GCAAAGTGCTTATCACTCACTCTGGATTATTCAAAAGTGGAATCCCTCATAAATAGCTTCTGTACATGATGGTCTGGGGTGGGGCACGAGGGCTCCTATGGGTGTTCCTGCTTCATCTCAGCTCTGCGCTTGCAGGTGGGAGAACAAGGACGTGTACGCGGCCGCGATCCGGAGCCTGCGGATGCGGGAGCTACAGACCCCGGAGTGTATGACTGCAGTGAGGGCAGGGCTGGGCTCCATCATCCCCCTGCAGCTCCTCACCACACTCACCCCCCTGGAGATGGAGCTCAGGACCTGTGGCCTCCCCTACATCAACCTGGAGTTTCTCAAGGTACAAAGAATGGCAGGTTCGGCCGAGCTCCCCCTGGGACATGGAGAGGAGGATCCTCCAGTGGGAAGGTGTTGGGGGAAGGAATCTTCTGCTTATGATGCAGCCAGGACATCCTTGGGGAACTCTGGCCTGTACTTGGACACCTCTCTTTACTCCCAAGGAAGTTTTTTAAGATTTCATTGGCTTCAGGAAATAATAGGTGTGGGGCTTGTTCCAGAGAGGAATAAGGAATTTGCTTCTTAACATCAAATTTTAAATCCATCTCTATTTTATTGATTTGTATTTATCTGAAGTGTAGTGGGGAAGATTCTTGAAGGCAGAGAGGAGGGCAGGAGTGGACATGTGCTTTCTCTTCCCTCAGGCACACACCATGTACCAGGTGGGACTGATGGAGACCGATCAGCACATCGAGTTCTTCTGGAGCGCCCTGGAGATGTTCACACAGGAGGAGCTCTGCAAGTTCATCAAGTTTGCCTGTAACCAGGAGAGGATCCCCTTCACCTGCCCCTGCAAGGACGGGGGCCCCGACACCGCCCACGTGCCCCCGTATCCCATGAAAATCGCCCCCCCTGACGGCGCTGCAGGTACGGGGGTGTCCTGGGGGTGTCCACCTCCAAAGGCAATGGGAGGTGGTTCCTCTCATGGCACAGTTCCAGCTTTCAGTCCCCCTTCATGCAATTTAAACTTGTCTTTAGTGCACAAACAATGACAATGAGAGAGGCAGGTAGTTGTGAGTGTAAATAAGAAGAGAATTTGGTTTTAAACCATGTAAAAATAAAATGGAACATAAACCTGAACTTCCAGTGAAAGGTTCCCTGCCCATGGCAGGGGGGTGGAACTGGATGAGCTTTAAGGTCCTTTCCAACTCAAATCATTCTGAGATTCCATGGTACTTAAAATTTTGTCTCTAGAGAGACACTGAGAGACTTTGTATATTTGTCTCTTATGCTTTTAAAATTATTGGGCTATCGGAAAAACATCGGCCCAAGACCTGTTGGAGAAGCACAGGATATTTAAGATTCAAAAGACCCACAAGAGGCAGGGATTTGATTTTGATACCCTCAGTAAGGGATGTGGGGGAGGAACAGCTTTGGGACAATGAGGAGAAAAGCATTGGGTGTCTTCAACCGCCCTTCCTGGTGCCTCTCCCGGCAGGTTCCCCGGACTCACGGTACATCCGTGTGGAGACGTGCATGTTCATGATCAAGCTCCCGCAATATTCCTCCCTGGACATCATGCTGGAGAAGCTCCGATACGCCATCCACTACCGGGAGGACCCTCTGAGCGGCTGAGGGGGAGGAAGGGGGTACCCAGAGGTGACTCTGTCGTGACTCTGCCGACGGTGGAAACCCTCCAGTTCCATCCAGCACCTCCCGTGACTCCACCTGATGAGCTGGAGGTTAATTTATTTTCTGAACCTTCGTTCCCGTTACAGTAATTCCCAGAAGACTTCCATTTTGTATTTGTAGACTTTGTGGTGGACTGGTTCTTTTGCTGCCTTGTTTGTGGAATATTTGTAGGATAGTTTAGTAAAGACCGGTTTGTGTATAATTTAATTGGGAAAAAACCAAACCTTTCAACATGTACATTTCTAATTTTGTAATCCAGAACGAGCTTCCCCTGCAAACACAGCAGCAGGGAGGGCGTTCCAAGGTCAGGAAGGTCATGGATCACTCTCCCTTGAGACATTTTTGAGTACAAAAATGCACAGTTTGGGTGTGGGGAGGGAATTGCTGCACTGGCAGAGGCAGAGCACGGGCACTGTTGTGTCATGGGCAGGATTCGTGGCACTTACTTGAGGTTTGGAGCAGGAACTTCACTGCCAAACCTCATGTCCACCTTTCCGCCACTTCCTTTTAAATCTTTTTAAACTCTGAGCAAGCACACGGGGGCTGCCACTTAATTTGGGTTCAGCTCAACACTTTTGGGAAGATTTATAGCAGAACAGTGAAAGGGCAGTAATTCCATTGGGTTCCTGCCCTAGATGTTCTTGAATGTCTGCTTTGCTTAGCAACAAAATAATGTCTTGTAATTAAAATCTCAGCAGAACAAACTGGCTTCTCTCTGAAGGGTGTAAGATACCACAGTCCAACCCCAAAGTCTGGGACTTGATCCCAGTTCCCAACGAGCTTTCAGAACAACCAGGGTGTGATCAAACTCATTTTTGTACTCAAAAATCTTTGATCTAAAGAGCAAATTATCCTAAAAATGTGACACCCGGCAGGAGGACGAGGAAGGAGGATGAAGCTTCTGTTTTATGTGGAAAGACAGGAGCCGGCTGCGGAGAGAGAACGACTCCACATCTCACTTGGTGTGTTGTGGGACGTGGTTTGGGTGGTCAGAGCAGCCCCTCAAAGGTTGTCTTGTCCCTCACTGGTGTCAGTGGCCACCCCCATCCAGGGGTTTCATGGACGGTGTTGCTTCACTGATCACTTGGAACCTGAATTCCAAGGAAGAGCCCACCCTGGAATCCGCCTGTGCCGGGGCCTCGGCGCTGCCCTGAGCCAAGTGCCAGTGCTGGGCTGCACTGGGGTGTCCCTCAGCCTCGGGAAGGTGTGGGTGGGATGTGACGACACATCCAGGTCGGTGTTCCGTGTCTCCAGAACAGGGTTTGGCCTGTCTGTGCTCCTGGGAATCCCACTGTATTTATTGTACATTATTGTGAATATTGGGAACGGTGAGTGTGTGGGACGTGGGAGATGCTGCGAGTGAGGGAAGAGCCTGAACACGTGTGGATGTTGTTGTTCCGTGAGCGAGTGGGAATGTGTGTGCAAGTCGTAGGTAGTCGTTGGCATCCGGAGTCTCCCAACCCGTGGTTAGGAAGCTGTTACCCTCCCATTGCATATCCCCCTTTCCAGGGAACAGATCCATGTAGGAAGAACATTTACTCTCCAATCTCGTCCATTCCCTGGTAGAAGCGTTTATGTAGCTCAGAAACCACTCGGAGGAAGCGCCAACACCTGGAGTTTACAAAGACCGAGGGAAAACGAAGCCGAAGGAGCGGCTTGGAGCCGGTTTGTTCCCAAAGGGTGTCGTGAGGAAACGTGGGGTACACCAGTGGAATTTCATGGCAGAGCTGTGGCTGCAGGTTGGGCACTTTCTGGGTGGTTTTGGGTTCCAGTTCCCCACGTGAAGCCCGAAAGGCCCCGGGTGGGAGGAGCAGCCACGGAAGGCTCTGGAGCTCGGAATTCCAACGTTTCCCAAGGCACTGGTTCCAGCTGTGAGTAAGAAACTGCTGCTACTGTCTGTGTGTTCCTTGGAGAGCACATCCGAGTGGAGCACATCTGCACCCCGGCCCCGAGACGTGCTGGAAAGTTACTTGATCCGTATTTATTACAGTTAATTATTTATGATTACAAATAACGAACTTTGCGTCGATGCCGTTTGCACCTGGGGGTGTAAATGGAGCTTCTTCTACAGGACAAGTGTCACACCAATAACCAACCTCCATCGACTTGGTTTGTTCTCAAGAACAGGATCAGCCCCACAAGAGAAGGAGCTGTGGGGGGTTTTCTTGGCTTTTTTTTTTTTTTTTTTTTTTTTAATTTCATGCTCCTTGGGAAGGAAGTGCTGCGGCCCCTCGGCTGCGGCTCCAATGGCCTTTTGATTAAAGCTTTTCTAATCATCCTTAATTCCTCGTGCTTTAAATGAACTTGACATTGTCTGTACTAGGCTTGTTTGTCAAAGCAAAGATTGGTTTGTGATGATTATTATTATTTTTTTTAATATATATTCATTCAGAATGTAAAATTATACTAAACCATGGAAAAACTCTGGAGCTGGGTATTAGTTCTAGCTTGGTGTGTGTCCATCTCGGTTCCGTACACGGCATTAACCTGTAAGTGCTCTTGGCCATCGAGTGTACACCTGCATAAAGGAGATTCTTAACATCCCTCTGCACTTCTCGTGTCCTTCTTTGGGGCTGCCAGGAATGAAATCCACTGCTGGAGCTGCCTGAAGCACAGGATGAGGAGGGTGAGGAAGGAAGCTGCAGGTTCTCTCTTAAAATCCTTCTTTTATGGGTCATTTTTATTTACTTGGAACAAAATGTAAATATTTTGTACCAAAGTGAGCACAGCCACTGCTGAGCTTTCTCTTCCTGGAGACTCTGGGATATTCACCCTGAGGAATAACACAGGCTCTGCCACCTCAGTAATTAGTTACTTGTTATACTAATGGTTTCTGACCCCAAGCATCCCATTATCCATCCCAAACCCCAGGAACCAGCTCCCTTTCCCTGATCTTCCCCAGGAATGGGGAGAACACAGGTTTGGTTGCCACCTGTTCTTGAATACCTTTATTCTTCTTGTATAAATAAACACCTTTGGTGGGAGCATCTGTAAAATGTCTTTATTTTAGGAGGAAGATCCCTTCAGCCCTCATTAATCTCTGGCTACACCAGTGGGATGGAGATGAGACCTTGCCAAAGGGTGACTGGCTAATTAGCCCTGCTAATGCCATCTGCTGCACCCCCTTAATTAGGCTTCTCAGAGACCTGCTGCAGCTCTTCCAGTACCACTTCCCAAAGCCCCGGGGCTGCCAACAGCACAGGAACAGGGACCCAGGGCAGGTAAGGGTGGAACGGGGATTCCCAGACCCCCTGTCCAGCACCAGGGAAACACCCTCAGAGAAGGTTCACGGAACAGATTTTTACTGCACAACGTTTTGGGACAGCATTAGATAAACTTTATTCCAAGGAATTTACAAAACAGGGATAATGCGAGAAGCTTTTGACCTCTGACCTTCGGTCCTGCTCCGTGTGGGGCAGGTCCATCCAGCTGCTCCCTGTTGGGTGACACCTGCTGTGCCTGAGCAGGACAAGGCAGGACACACCCTGGGAGCTCAGCCTGGCATAAATCCTGTCCTGGGATTGCACAAGGAGCCCACACGGACACAGAACCCAGGTGGGGCCAAGGTTTTGCTGCCTTGGGGTTTCTGGGGGCAATCGGAGACGTAAAAACCTGAAGTTTGCTCTCACAGATTAAAAATAGATACTTAGAAAATGGTCACTGCCTAAAAATTTAAATCCAAGGTGGGAATTTACTTGTGCTCTGACCAGAGTGGGGCAGAGCACAGGAACAGGGCCAAGAGCTCTGTGTCTTCCAGCACTGGTGGCTCATTCCTCAGGAGATCCGGCCCCTGGGCTCTGGGCTTTGGCCTTAAGGGAAGGGGAAAAGAAAGGAAAAATACTCTTTTCAAATATTACTTGATAATAAGCAATTGATAAAAAGCTCCCTGAAGCAGGAGAACTGTAAAATAACTCCTTGTCCTGGCAAAGCCATCACCAGGGGTAACAGCCAGGGACTGTCCTCTCCTCCCTGCCCATCTCACTTGCAGGAGGAGCCCAGTGGGAGCCCCGGAGCGGCACTGGGACCCCTGGAACTCCCACCCCCTGAGCCCTGCAGGGGTGGGACCCACATGCCCAGATCCCAGCCCATCCCACTGCCAGAGCTGCCCCTGCAGCCTCACCTTGGAGCTCCTGCGCCTGAGGCCGACACGCCCGTCCTGCAGCCTGAGGCTCCTTCCTCCAGTGCTGGGGCTGTGGGGGATCAACAGGGACAACCTTCAGAAGAGGCAAACACACCTGGGACAGGTGGGCATCACAGCAGGGACATGGGGAAGGGGTCAGGGAGAAGCTCTTGTGTCTCCCCTGAACCCTGACCCAGGTATTTCTGTAACAGAACCAGCTCCTGTTCAGAGCCCGGGGAGAGCAGAGCGCTGCCATGGACAGGGAACCAGGTGTCATCCTGCGTTTTATCCCAGGGGCCACTTTGTCCATTCTATTTTGAGGTAAGAAGCTAAATTTGTTGTTTGAATCTCAGATAAGCACCAGGCAAGTTCAACTGAGTCCCTTTGAAAGCCTGTGAAAAGCTTTTCAGCTACGGGCAAATTCAAGGGAATCCAGATCTGCACCTCAAGGAAGGGGAAGAGAACAGAAGGCAACGGTGGTACCTTGGCTGGGCTGGAGCAGCTCTGGAGAAGCTGGAGGTGAAGGTTTCTCCATGGAAGTGCTGAGCAGGTCTGGCTCGTGGCGTTGTCCCCCCTGCAGCTTCACCTGTCCCTCTGTCCTTTGGTCTCCCCTGGCTGCCATTCCCCTTCCTGGGCTTGCCCTGCATGTTGGAAGCATCAGCAGCTCCCGGGGAACAGGACAATGGTGTGTTCCTGGTGTTGGCCATGTCACTTCTCAGCTTGGTCCCTCGGGCAGGGCAGCCCAGCCCTGACTGCCCAAAGCCTTCTGCGTGCCGAGGAGAAACATCTCCTGCAAGGACAGGACATGGAGCTTAACAGGAACAGCACCTGCAGCACCAGCCCCTGGAGAGAACAGAACCAGACCCATTTCCATCCCTGCAACCCAAGGCTCCATAACAGAGATCATTGAGGACCCAGAGGTTAGTGATTTAATCCTCCCAGACTGGGGGAGAGGACTGAAGGTTTTTCAATTTATAGACAGAACAGGGTAACAGCACCAACACAGAGCACGTGTGATGTGCCCCAACCACAGAGCAGAGCGAGCCTGTGCTGTGCCCACCTTGGCGCCTGCTCCGTCGCCGCACTGGCTCCGGCGATTCCCGTCTCTCCGGGGCTGGAGCAGCGGCCGCAGGGCTGGCCGGGCGCAGGTCACACTGGTGCTGCAGCAGAACACAGACACTGCTCACAGCACACCCCACCCAACTATTCCTGGGAAACACTGAGCAGCAGCACCCCCCAAGAAGGAGAAGGTTAGTCGGGAATTGTTGTCATGGAGTCCCAGAAGGGACCTTAAAGCTGATCCAGTTCCACCCCCTGCCAGGTTGGACAGGGCTTGGAGCAACCCAGGCTCGTGGGAGGCGTCCTTGCCCATGGCAGGGGCTGGAACTGGATGGGCTCTAAGGTCCCTCCCAACCCAAACCATTCTAGGATAACCTATGAAATGGTATCAGATCTCATTTCCAACAACTCTGATTTTGCTGTTCCCCAGGACAGGAGAGGAAAGGCCCAGAACAATCACCCAAATTCCAGTTGCACCAGTTTGTTGGGACCAAGAGTGTGAAAGAGCCATGACAAAGAAAATGAGTGAGCTCAGCATTTTCCAATCTTGTCTGTAACAGCAGCAGATTCCAGAGGGCTCTTCCCTGTGCACACCCCTCCCAGGTCTGTTCTCTACTTCCTCTCCCACCCACACAGTTTTGCCTTTGTGCTCCTCTCCCCCCTCAGCTGACTCACATCCAGGTTTCCGCAACATTTTCTGTATGAGTCAAATACTTCAATTGTGCAATTTCAGCCCTTTTGTTTAGTTTCTGTTATAAGAGCTTTAAAATAATCTGGTACTTTTCAGTCAGAGCCTCAGCCTGGCACAACCCTCCAGCTGAACCCCAGAGCTTTGTTTAGGAAGCCCTGAACCAGGGACAGTTACCTGAATTCCTAAAATGTACCCCCAAGAGCCCTCAGGACTCAGCACGTCCTTGAGCTGGATGTGACACGACAGACGATGACGTCCTGTTCAGTACCTGATGATGGAAGAGAATCTCCTCTTCCAGTTGGATGCCACAAAATTCACATGGAATCATGATGTTTTCTTCTGCCTGGACAGCCTGGGGCTGGGATGAAGGGAGAGTCCTCCAGCTGTTGGAGCCAACAGCACACAGACCATCGTAGTCCCATGGATTTGGAGAAGAGCTTCTCTTACTGAACGAGGCAAAGGCACTTGCTGGGTTACACCCCGTCTGTTACACAAGAAACACAGAAAAATCACCTTTCCTGCTGAGCCAGGGGACTCTAAAAACCCCTTTCCTTGGCAAAGACCCAAGTGCCAGAATTCTCTAAGTGTCACTATGTCAACCACACCCTTTCCAGTCACAGTAAAGCCTTTACTTCAAACCCCAAGACACAAGGTAGCCCCAAACCTGGTGAAGGATCAGCTCCTCGGCGGGGCAGAGCTCCTCACAGAACTCACAGGGCAACATGATGGTCTCCGTGTCTGCAAGGGAAGAGAAGGAAACATCCTCTATTGTGGAGAGTCTGGAGCAGCTGGAGTGACTGATCTTCAAAATTCCTGAGCACCAGGCTCTGGTCTGTGCTGGGACAGCACCCAGAGCAAACGCTGAGGAAACAGCTCCTCCCGTCCCACTCACTGAGCTTCACATCACCCAGAGGAGAGCAGTGCTTTGGGGTCAAAGATGGAGTGAATGGTCTGGGAAAAACACCTTTTACTGCCCTCAAAAAACCCTGCAGTGCCATTTGTCCTTCCAAAGTAAGCTGCTCTCCAGGCCTCCCCCAGATCCTACTTCCCATCATGTCTGATTTCCATGAGAACATCCCTCCCTGGCTGTTGTGGGGCTCCCACCACTAACCAAGGTCAGAGACCCCCCATAGGTTTTATTCCTTCTTCCCTTGCTTTGCTTTAGGAGGAGTCTAAGAGACTAATTTTGACATTTTAAAAAACCTAGATAATCTTTAACATTCCCAATCCAATCTTTCCTTCTCCCTTCTCTCAAATTTAAGGAAACCCCACCACCACCACCATATTTACACTTACTTTTTCTGTGGTTTGAGGTGCTAAAAGACCCTGGAGAGTCGCAGGAGAAGGTGTTTGACTGCTGTATCTCACTGAGGTGGGCAGCTGACCCGGGCTCTTTGGTGTAGTCATATTCCCAGAAGTCCCTGGGAATTCCAGCTGCAGTGTTAGGGTGAGGATTATTCTCATTTTGCAGGCTGAGAGCCAACACGTAGTCTAACTCAGCATTCCACTCCTCTGGAAGTGGGGAATGAGGGATTTCACTTCTCTCCAGCTGCTCCAGCTCATTCTCTTCAAAAGATAAATATTGTAAATTTGAGAGAACATTAAACCTGCCCCCAGCAGTTCCCTCCCAGGACACTCCCGGAGTTCAGCCTTTCAAAGCCAAGGACAGCTGTCCCAAATTCAGGAGGATGAATAAGGACAATCATCCTGGGTTTGTTTGTACCAAGCAAAACAGGAGAAAAATAAGGAAGTTGTAACTTCCTTCTTACTCCAAAAGCTTGAACTGAGGCTTCTTGGGAGCTTTAGTGACTACACTGAGCAAGTTATTAATACCCTGTTAACCTCATCCCTTTTACAAGGCTGAAACACTCCAGCTTTGTTTTTTCAGTATATTGATAAGAAAACAAATTATTCTTAATGACACTGTATTTGACAACAGTGGGAATTATACAGAAGAAACCCACGAAATGCCACAGTTTCAAAATTTTCATGGGTTTTAATTTCGTTTTCTGGTAGGGAAGCTGCACTGAAAGGAAAACCAGGGTACCAGAGGCTACACTGAAAGGAAATCAGGATTCCAGACTTCTGATTTCTTTGATTTCTCCTGCTCCTGTTTTCCCCCTCACAGCTGCCCTAAATCTGCTCCTCTCCCTAGGCTCCCCCCCAGGCCCAGCACAGGTACCTGCTCTCAGTCGGTTTCTCGCACCTCGCTCCTCATTCCCAAATCCTGGTGCTGTCCCGCTCCCTCGGGGTTTCTCCTCTGTCCCACAGACCCGGGGGTGCTCTTTGAGATCTCTCAGCAGGACATTCCGGCCGCAGTCCCGGCAGGGCTCGGTCCTGGCCCCGCAGTAGCTCTCGTGCTCCTGAAGCTTGTTGAAGGCCAGCGGGATGTCACAGAACTGGCACAACACGGGGCGCAGGGGACACGCTGACTCCTGCAAGACACACAGGGATGGCTCTTCCCACGTGAGGCAAAGGAGGAGGGAGGGTCTCAGTTTGCTCAGGGGTTCAGCACTCAGTTGTTTCCTCATCCAAAGCCTCACTAAAAAATAGCCTGGAATAAGATACAACCCGAGAAACGTTAACAACAACATATTGTATGACCTGTGTACCACAAACTGAAGCTCTCCAGATACTCAAGAGCACTGCTTGAAATTATTTTTGACCTGGACAGCAGGTTCACATGGAGGTTTTTGAAGTTGGCTTTTAGATACAGATCTGAAATCCAAGGACATTCCACTGAGTACAGCTAAAAACCACCTTGGTGTGCGTTCTGATGCCTGCTCAGCTGGTGCTAAGAAAAAATCTAGGAGCCATTAGCTGGGGTGAGATAAGAAAGGGTTTAATTGTGCCAAGGCAATAGATGGTAAACGACGTGCGCGCCGGGCTGTGCCCGAGATGTTACATTTATAACAATATCTGGCCAATCCCGTGTGTCCTCCCCGTAACTTTTGCTCCGGTCCACCCCCTGGCCCACCTCCTGGAATTGGGTCGGGGGGCTTTTTGGGACCCTCTCTTCATCATCCTTCATCATCTTCAGGGTACAGAGAGCAGAGTCACCCAGTTCCTTGACTCTGTCCTGCGGTTTAGGCCAAGATACAAGCGTTCTCCAAACAAGACAGGCTTGCCTTGACAAGAGACAAAACATCTTCTACTGGATATGGGAATAGGGTTGATATGGGGAGTATGGAATGGGGTGAGAGGATTAAGGAATGTATAAACTAAGGGGTGCTAGGGGAGGAGGGAGAAAGAAATGTTTCTAAAATCTACTTCTATTACCTATAAAACTTATAAGGTAGAAAAATAAAAAAACTATTGGAGTTTAAGGCATCATTCTGTAGGGAACAGACTTACACCTCATTTATTACTCAACAAAAACTGCTTGTAAATATTCTTTACCCCACACTCAACAACAGGTAAGTTGCCCTTCAAAAGGGGTTAAAAATAGATAAAATACCTGTTATAACTGCAGATGCTGCAATAATAAAACAGCATTGTTTGCTTTGCAAACAAAGCCAAAAGCGTCACACACAAAGGGGCAGGATAAGCTACTTCCAGGCTTTAGAACTGGACAGATTTCCAAGGAAAATCCTTTTTCCCCTCAGCAATAAACAGGCTGAGGTGGCATTTCCAGAGCTGCCTTTAAATGAGCCCATGGGAAGGGAAGGGACTGACATTTATAACAAGATTGCCTGTGACAGCAGCCAAGTGGATTCAGAACTCAGAAAATCCCACTGTGTCCTATTTTAGTTTATTTTACAGGCTATTTTTAAAGTCTGTTTGGACAGAAGTTATTACAACTCACATATAATAACGAGTTATTGAAACTCAGTCACTGCAGCAGAGGCAGAAACATAAAATGGTAAAGGAATGGACAAAAAGCCAGGTTAATAATATTTTGAAATACTTATTTTTCACCTAATCACTAATAAGGACAAAAAATTACCAGTTCTCACAGATGGCTTGATATGAAGACCCTTTGTGGCTCCAGCACTTTAAGGCAGTTTCCAACCCCCTTCTCCCAAAAAGTGTGAATTTAGGAAGCATCACTCAATAAAAGGATGCACAAACCACAGGCTGGAATTCTGGCTGACAGGAAGGCTTTGGAATCAGCGCTTGGAAACACCACAGAGTCTCTCCCAAGGGTTTAAGAAGAGAAAATCCACCAACCTCGTGATCCTTAAGGAGACTGTTTTCAATCTTCATCCTACACTTGCAGGTCACCTGCAGCAAACAGACTTGGTCGGATTAATTGCCACAGAAATCAGCAGTTTCAGAGGGGAAATGTGCTTCTCACCTGCACATGGTCAGACTCAATGTGGTTCTTCATCTCAGACTTTGGGATGGAGTCGCTGCAGTAGGGACATATTTCAATATTCCTGCGACAGTGGATTTCATGGATGAGGAAATTAACTGCAGGAATGTCCTTTTTGCTGGGAGAAAATCACTGAGGTTACTGGGCAGAAACACACTGACAACAAATTCAAAAAGTTGTTCGTAACAAAAAAATAATGCTAAGGAAGATTTTGATGAATTCATGGTTTAAAGTGATTAAGTAACTTCAGAGAAAGGCCCAGCCAGGCCTCAAGGTTCCTGCACAGGTGGATATTAATGTATTTAGCACCCGAAAGTCACACTGCATTAAGATAAAATCCAGGTGCATTTATTTCCTTATGTGAAAGGTGAATCATGCAGCACAAACAAGTTATCACAGGGTGCAAGTTAATAAACTAACCTGAGGAGATAAAAACTTCTGCCTGAAAATAACTTGGCTATGAGAGGTCAAACAGTGCCTTGCTCAGAAAAAAATAATTGACAGATGCCGTTAGGCCAGATTTGTTCAGGGAATGATGAAACCATGGAATGGTTTGGGTTGGAAGGGACGTTAAAGCTCATCCAGTTCCACCCCTGCCATGGGCAGGGACACCTTCCGTAGCCCAGGTTGTTCAGAGCCCCAGCAGTAACAACACTACTCTGTACCCCAAAATTCCCCAGCTCTTATTTCTAAGATGCCCATTTTCCTCCCTTGAGGACAGGAAAGGACCAGACACAAAAGGACCAAAAAGAACCGAGGTGCCAGGAGCTCAGTCCTCACTCCTGCTTCAAGAAGGAAGCATCACTTCTAGATGGATGTATCATCCCCCCTCCAGGAAATCAGCCCTGAAAACACCCAAATTAACTGTATAACCTCTTGCTCCAACTCCAGCTGTTCATGTTTCTTTTTTTTTTGCCAAAACCCTGGCAAAGCAACAAGGCCCCACAGCAGCGTCTGAGCTGCGCAGACCAAACAAACCCGGATGATGTTGCAAGAAGCCCTTTGGGTTCTGATGTCTCTTTGAAAAACAACAACACTAAAGAAGTTGATTTCTTTAACTGCTTGTAGTCAGGACCCAACTTGTGAGGTGAGGTCGTTATCAGTCACTGAATTACCATCACTGGGAGCTGCTGTCAGAGAGAAGAACTTCCACAACAACATATGCTTAGGGCTTCTATTTTTATATTTCTCCTGAGCTTCAGAGGCACAGAGCTACTGAAGGAAAACCTGGAATCGTGTGGATTTCACTGAAAACCGAGTCTGTATTTCTATCTGAACGCTTTAGTTTCTCTCTAACAGCCTGTTAAGAAACTTGAGTAAGAGTGGAGAAAATTACAAGGCGTTAATAGCTGAGAAGGTAAAAACGACGCATAAACGTTTGTCTATAAAGGCAGTAGTTATTCCGCTGGATCGCCAGTGTTTCCAGCATTCCACGGAGTTCTACCCCTGTTCAACGCGGCTCCGGCCCGGCCCAGCCCTCACCGACCCCGGCCCGGCCTTACCAGTTCCCGCAGAGCCGGGACTCGGCCCCGGGCACGGCGGCGATGGCCATGGCTGGGCCGGTGCCCCGAGGGGCTGCTGCTGCTGCTGAAAAGGAGGGAAGGAGGAAGGGAGCGAGTGAGGGGGGAGCGCGGCCCGGCGGGTGTCCCCAGCCCGGCCCGGGGCGTTTGCAGAGGTCGGTCCCGGGGCTCCGGGGCTCTGGCCGCTCGCGGGGGGCCCTCGGCCCTGGGCTCGGCGGGTGCCGCTCGCAGGTCCCTCAGGGCTCGGCGGGTGCCCCCCGAGGGGTCGGTGGCGGGGTGGCGGTCGCGGCTACTCCGGGGCTCGGCGGGTGTCGATCGCGGGTGTCCCCAAGCCCGGCCCGGCTCAGTGTCGGCGCCCCTGATCCGGGTCAGTCACCGCTCCCGGTGGTGCGTATCCCCAAGCCCAGCCCGGGCCGCTCTCGCTGCCTCCGCGTCGCCGCCACCGTCCCCAACCCCCGACTCGCGTCGCTCACAGGTATCCCCACAGCCCGTTCCCAGCAACGCTGCAGATACCCCCACCGCTCAGCCGCGGGTGTCCCCCCCCCCACAAGTCCTCCCCCGAGCCGTATCCCGGTGCCCCCAATCCCGGGTCGCTTCCCTGTATTCCCCCCCCCCGGGGCCCTATCCCGCCTTCGCCTCCTCCTCCTCCACTCCCCCCCCTCCCCTCACGCCGCTCCCGCCACCTCCGGGGCCGTGCCCGCCCCCGCCGCGCCTGCGCGCCGCGTTCTGCGCTCTCATCATGGCGGCGCGGGGCCATGTGCAGGACCCCAACGACCGCCGCCTGCGGCCCATCTACGGTACGGCTTCCGCGGCGCCCCTCACGCCGCAACCCCCGAGGCCCCCGGGCTCCCGACGCCCCGGTAGGGGCGTCGGG